ATCCTAGCTATTATAAGGTATTATAAGGTGAACTTATCCTAGAAGCCACATTTTGGAAGATTGGAATAGTGGAGTCTTCATTATACATTAGCAGGCTGCAGGCAGCCAGTTGTTACGGAGGCCTGCAGCACTCAGATACACTTAACATGGTTAGGAAACAGACTAGAGAGAAGAAAGAACAAAAGTAATATCAACAAGCCGATTCAGCTCCCATAGAACTGAATTGGGACACCATGGAGATCAGAGATGAGCTAGGAAACAGGACACAGGAAACGATCATGGAGATATACATAGCACGGTTAATGGCAGCGAGGCTGGCCTGGGGCTAAATAGGAGCCAAACAGGGGAAAGGTTTCCAAAGAAATTTCCACAAGAAATTCCCAGTCCCAGGCAGTGAACTGACAGTGGACTATCAGCCAAGTGTCCACCAGGGATCCGGGCACATCCATCACCTGGGAGGCAGGTGATGGCCAGGGGCGTTTCCTTCCCCCAGCATGAAGGGATTTCAGGACCTGGCTAGCACCAGAACAATTTTGTTCCTTGGACCCTGTGATAGGAAAAGTCAGGTAGCTCCATCATACTTCTTTTCATGTTGTTCTGGATTGTTTTGTCTCTTCAGGGACTTTTTATTGTTCCATAAGAATTTTAGTGTACATTTTCTATTTCTTTCTCTCATATTACTCTTCTGAGAACTGAAGCATAATATTGAGTAAGCATGAATAAATATACATCCTGTCTTGTTCCTCAATTTAGGGTAAAGACCTTTAAGCTTTTCATTTTGAGTCCCATATTGGGTGTAGAAGTTTCATAGAAACACTTTAGTACACCACAGGTGAGTCTTCCACTTCCCCTGGGGCTTAGACTCATGTCCCTTGTTTGGACTTCAGCCTGAACTGGCCTTAGGGCCAGCATCAAGGACAGCCAAGTCTCCTGTAGAGGGATGTAACTTAATTGCTCCTTCAGGGTCCACTTAGAGCAGCAGCTGTGAAATTCTCCCAAAGGCCTTCCACAGAGAAGGACAACTCTGGCTGAAGGTGAGTCAAGAATCCCTTTGGTGATCGGCTTAAATAAGGGACAAAACCCTTTGTTTTGCCTAGGAGGATTTGTCTAAGTGGATGATGTCACAGATTCTATACCCATTGTTCAACCTCAGCTGTGGTTGACAGAGAGAACAAGACAATACATATGGTAGCTTCATAAAGGCGATAATTGTTTTCAAGGTAATTACGAATGTGCTAAGGGCAATAGATGAAATGAGAAAAATCTGCACATAACTATCTATTAGATTTGTTCAAAAACTTGTCAGATTTTGTTAACTTGGAACCAGTAACATTAGAATTCTTTTTCCTAGGTATTATTAATATTTGTGAAATAAATGAAATCATGGAGCAAATAGTGTACCCAAATGAGCTGAGAGTGTACTGTTTTGTTGCATGTTCCAACCGTAAAAATAATCATAACAAATTTTGGTTGATACTTATTTTTCTTGGCTGTTCTTAGACACTGAATATAATGCAGAAAGGCAATGGAGAAATTACACAGCACAGAACTGTGAACTGAAATCCCAAAGCCTGGGACTTTACTGCAGCATTCTCACATACATTCTGTATATCTAAGTTAAGTCACAAATTCACCTGTGGAACTGCAATGAAAAGATCTAACAAAGTAATTATGAAAACATCATTCAGTTTCAAAGATGAATATTAAAAATTTGACATACCCTGACTTTTTAGCTTGGTATTCTTGAGCTACATTTGCAGTAGGAACAAGTAACATATAAAAGAGAAAGACAGTAGATTACGAATGTTGTCTGTGGAAATTCTGAACACCTTTAATAAAAAATAAAGTATTCAAGTTTCTATTACTAAAATGCCTTTAAATAGTAATGATATTCCATTTGTGAAAGCATGACCAATAAATTGGACTAAGGTATGATGACTAAAAGTGAATTGAATTCCATGTAAAGCTCAATCTACTTTCAGAAAAAATTCAATATAAACCAGAAACATCTAATGTCAGGGATCTTGATGTCATCTATTGCTATTTTTCTAAAGTGATGGAAGGTATCTACCATGTACTATTTTGGTCCTGGAAGTAGACCATAGGAGGTTTAAGAAGACTGAAGACAACCCCATTACACACCCCGTGTCTGGTGCTGTGTTGTGACTGTAGTATGACTTTAGGCTTGGTCATTGCTATCTGTAATCTTATTCTTTCCACTCATGTCCTGGTAATTATGCTGTGTGCTTGATGAGAATTAAAGCCAATGCCCTACAAACCTCAGGGGAGAAAGGTCTTTTCTCTTCTGAGAACAAATGACTGGCTGAGGTCAAGGGGAAATTTCATGTTGATTGTCATGAAATCTGCTTACTGTCCTGATTCTGGATGGGATGAGGACTCTGTCCACCTGCCCTGGAAATCACAGCAAGTATGTCTTTATCTGAGGGTAGTTTGTTCTCTAAATGTGGACAGCTGCTAAAATTTCTTATATTCAGAATCTGTGCAGACTGCTCATCCACACTGGAGGTGCTCCCTTATCTGTCTCTGCAGCTGAGTGAAAACAAGGACTGGGTTTGAGTTTCCAGTGAAGGGGTCTCCTGATGCCTTGCACAAGGCAATCAATTGCTCTGTGGATATAAGGGGCAGATGTGCTTGTCTGCTCCAGGTGCAGCTTTGGCAGTGTGACTCAAGCTTGTTACTAATATGTACTATGGAGTCAACCAACATGGCTGGGAGACATAACAATGTTGTGCCCTTAAGTCAGGCAGGCACCTTAGGCAGGCACTGATGGCTCATGCCTATAATCCTAACTACTCAGGAGGCTGAAATCTGAAGATCATAGTTTGAAACCAGCCTGGGCAGAAAAGTCTTTGGGACTCATATCTCCAGTGATGTATCGAAAAAGCTGAAAGTGAAGTTATGACTCAAGTGGTAGAGTGATAGCTTTGAGTAGAAACATTTGAGGACAGTGCCCAAGCCTTGAATTCAAGTGTCTGGATTGGCACACACACAAAAAGATTTGTTCCTTACAAATAAGTGACATAACTTGAATGGTAGGTGATGTTTGGACTTTCTGTGTAGGCCTTAATTTAGGATATGAATTGTGTTTCTTGTAGTTGGACCAAAAGTAGAATTCTTAAGTTAAATATAAACATTAATTGTTTTTGTTTTTAAATGAAGAGGTGAAGGAAAAAGCAAATGGGGTAGGTACCACATTGGATAAGTTGCAGGGGAAGACAGAACCTGGAGAACAGGGGGCTCCAGGAAGAGCAGATGAGAGACTTTCCTCCTCAGTGAACACTGGGGGACATGGAAAGGTTGCTAGAAGGAGATTTTCATGATGCATCTCAGGAGGGTCATTCTAGAGAAAGTACAGGATGCACATCGACAAAGAAGGAAACGAAAACGAACCACAATCTGTACCTGCCATGAAATTCTGGTGTCCCTCACCTGTTGACTTTGCCTAAGATACATGTACCAATGTCTATAACCTCCAGAAATCAGGTCATATTTGGGCATGTTATTCCCATTTTTTATACTATTTTAAAAATGATCACCAAGACACCTCAAAAACATCATATAGCAATATGTCAGTATATCATAGGAAATGCATCTTCAGGAATACAGATTAATTTCAAATATTCAGTCATAAATAGTGCCATGCAGATAACTTGAAGATTTTTAGGTGAGGATTCAATGACTTGACAAAGGTAAAGTCATTTTAAAAAATTAAAAAAAAATTTATTGTCAAGGTGATGTACAGAGGGGTTACAGTTACAAACGTAAGGTAGTGAGTACATTTCTTGTTGAACTTGTTCCCCTTCCCTCATTTTTCTCCCACTTCACCCCTCCCTCCCCTCCTGCCAAGTTGTACAGTTCATTTCCAACATATTGTCTCAGGAGTATTGCTGTTGCATTGTTTCCCCCTTTGTATTTTGTCTCACCTTCCCATCTTTAATTCATATATATATTATACCCATACAATACCCAGAGTACCAAAATCAAATACTTTGACAATGGAGAATACACCATATGAAAAAAAACACAAAAGAAAAAAGAAATCATATAGTACATTGAAGAATTTTTCAATGACATTACTATGGATGGACTCAGGGGCTGGGCACTGCCCCTTAGCATTTTCTCTAAAGGATGGCTGTTTGCCACTGAAGCCACAGCTCCACTTCTGGTTTTGTGTTAACTAACTGAGGAAAAGGATCTCATTGCCTAGACTAACTTTGAACCATTAACCTTAGATCTCAGGTTCTTGAATAGCTAGGATTACAAGTGTAGACCAACATCACCTGGCTTGAAGATATTGTGTGTGTGTGTGTGTGTGTGTGTGTGTGTGTGTGTGTGTGTGTGTGTGTGTGGTGGTGGTGGTGGTGATGGTCCTGGGACTTGATCGTAGAGGCTAGGTGCCATCGCTGAGCTTTTATGCTCAATTAGAGTGCTCTACCATTTGAGTGACAGCTCAGCTTCTGACTTTTTGTGTAGTTAAGCTTCATAAACGTTCCTGCTCAAGCTGGCTTCAAACCAAAATTCTCAGGTCTCAGCCTCCTGAGTTAGATAGGATTACAGGATGGCTTGAAGCTATTTTAAATATCTTTCCAAAGAAAAATTTACAGAAAGAAAAATTGGGGCTCAAATGGAATACAAATCTATATCCAAGAACCCATGCAAATGCTAAGCAACATCTTATGTTGCAAACTTGTTCATTCGTGAATAATGAAGGGAGGATCATCCATTTAATAACATGCCTTTTTCTTTTTTACTATACTGAGTGGTACTTGGTGAGGTGAATTGTTAATAAAGATTAGAAATCTTGTACTTGCTGTTTATGAGTTGAATACTCCTTTTCTTTCTTATATGGTACTTGTATGCATGCCTTAAACAAATCTACCGCAGCTATCCAATGTTCAAATCATGTTTTCATGTATGCAGAAAACACAGCAGCCTTTCTTAGGAAATCTTCCATTTTTTTATCCTAGCCCTGAAGTTGCATGCAGCTGTGGGCAGAGACTCTCCTGGTACTTCCTCTCAGCCTCAGGACCATGATCAACCAGACACAGGTGACAGAGTTCATCCTGCAGGGCTTCTCAGAGCACCCTGAATACCACATCTTCTTGTTCTGCTGTTTCCTGTCATTGTACTCTGTGGCTGTCACAGGCAATGTCCTCATCATCATGGCCATCAGCTTCAACCCTGGCCTCCACACGCCCATGTACTTCTTCCTGTTCAATTTGGCCACGATGGACATCATCTGCACTTCATCTGTTATGCCCAAGGCTCTTGAGGGGCTGATGGTAGAGAAGAGCTCCATATCTTTTAGGGGCTGCATGGCCCAGCTCTACTTTCTCACATGGTCTGCATCCTCAGAGCTGCTTCTTCTCACAGTCATGGCCTATGATCGCTATGCAGCCATTTGCCACCCCCTGCATTACAGCACCATGATGAGCAAGGCCTTCTGCAGCGTGCTTGCTGCTGGAGTGTGGGTGATCTGTGCCTTCAACTCATCTAT